CAATTAATGCACCAATAAAAGACAAACATATATATTTTGATCCTAAACGTAATTATAGTGTTGTTCTACACACCATTGTTGATGCTGATAAAAAATTTATTGATATTTATTGTGGTGTTGACGCCGCCCCCGCCCAATTTCTTTTGCCACGTCTGTATCGGCAGAGCAATCTTTTCTTTTCCTCTTATTCGAAGTTTTTTCGAAGTTTAATTCGCGCGCAACTAAACCATAACTAAAAGTTGCGCGCTATCTTCTTTTGCGACCGCTCACCGATCCAGACGTGGTAAGTGTTTGTCCAATTTGTTATTTGTAAAATATATTTATTATAAGAAACCTTTTCTTTTTTATTTAACATTTGAGGAATCATTTGCGCCGATCGTTTCCCCACGCCAACCACAACTACGGAACGAGCGAGCACCGTGCTCCACCACAGAATTAGCATATCATGACTCTAGTGTTCTAAAAAGGTCAGCATTTCATAGAAAAGCGGGAAGTAATGTAGAATGTTTATTTCTAAATTCTACTTTTATTCTCGGGTACTCGGCTTACCCTTGCAGAAATTATTTCATTCCTATGTTTAAAGATTATGGTTCGTTAAGAAGGAAGGAATTTAGTTGCAAGTGCATGCATTATGCACAATATATGCATTATTCCAAGCGACGATACAATTATTGACCATCAAATCGAAAGTTGCCGAACCAGAGCCAGAACCAGCTAATGAGCGGGCGAGAGAAGTAAGTGGAGATCGCCGGAATCAGCTGCTCACAATTTTAACACGAAGAAATAATTAAATTTTAACTTTTCTAATTTTAAAGCGCACTTTTAGAGCAACATTTGGCTATATATGTATAAATAAGCACGAGTACATGTACAGTGACTCAATCTCAAATAATAAAGTTATTTACAATTTTACGATATATTTTTTTTATATAAACACTTACATATGCATATGCATTTCTTCAAGATTTGTATGTAAAAAATGTTCATTTTATGATAAGCTTGATTATATATTTCTGTTAAATAAAACAATATATTTACGTTATGAAATCAAGTAGTTTTTCTATTTCTTATTCATAACAGACTGCTGTACAATTTTAAATTTTTCTTCTTCGTTTTCAGTTTTTTGTTGTTCAATTTCTATCGGCATATCTCGTTTTTCGGCCAAATCCTGCATTTGTTTTTGTATGTTCGCGTAAAACTTCGCCTTTTATTCAGCACCTTTGGCGTGAAACGTCTTTAAAATCGCGCCGAAACATACGGGTACCAGGTTTAAGAAATGGACCATAACGAAAAGATCTATATCATCGTACCTTAGTAATTAAAAAACTATTAGTTTTAGAAACAAGAATGTGGTGTAAATATTTCGCTTATGTAGTCACTTCGCTGTTATGACATTGAGCGGAGTCGAGCGGAGTCGAGCGGGGCGGCGGGGGAGGCATACTGCGTTAACTGTGCGAAACCGGCGCTATCGATTGTTTCTATTCAGTGTAACTCGTGACTGACTTTATAGCGTGGTGATTCTTTCGTGTGTTTTTCAAGTTTACTTAAACCGATTGATTTAAACAAAAATAAGTGTAATTTGGACGGTATTTATATTTAAAACTTGGTGACCCTGCAGCCGTTGTCTTACGTGAAATTATGTGTTTTGAAATGAAAAGAAAGTTGAATTTATCATTTCATTATTTTTTTTTTTTTCAATGTAACGTTGCTTGATAAACCACATTTTTTGGTTTCTGTTTCGGTGTACAGAAAAGAGTTTTCAAACTCTTCCAAACTTGGCAAACCAAATTGTGTCCTGTTGATCGTCACTTCAAATGCAATTTTCACTGGAAGCGGAATACGTTTGCACTGAAATGACAAATCATTGGAACTCAAAGGAATTCGTAGAATCAAGCATTCTGTCCACATGTATTCGATAGGTGCGTCACAATCCGTCGGATTCTATTACGAAGTTTCGGTGCATGAAGATTGAGAAATATCATAATGACAGATCCAACTTTGAAACGCAAAAGGTGCCGGGGCATATCAAGCCTATACAAATAATTTAGAAATTCCACTGGATCGATTTGTATGAGCGCAAATCTCCCCGAATTTGACTTCGAATCTTCCAGTTTAAGTCAACAACATCGGTAGTTACGATAATTTGGCCAATGTTCGGATAAACATTCGTGATGAGTTCATCTTTCGTGAATTGATAAACGGCGAATGGTATTGATAGCAAACCAACGGAAGTATCAATCGGATTTGACCCATTTATAATTTTTAGCGAGGACGATGTAAAATGTCTTTGGCAACGTTATTTTTATTTGCTGGCTCACTTCTCCAAAACTTGCACACAACGTACCATTCACAGTTCGCAATGACTCAAATGAAGTTGAACCGCGAACATTAATCGAACTTAGAAACCATCGTCATTTTACGGGTGGATTGTATAAATTCGTCCCAAGGAATTAGTTGAGAACGCACCTGGATGTCAATCTACTGGTTTGCCTTCCTTTCTGCGTAACTATTTCTTCGACGACGCATTCCATATATGTATATCAAGATATTTCCGAATAGAGCAATGTTCTGGCAAACAGATCACTGGCGAAAGTTGAGAAAAAATTCGTAAATGTTATTTTTGTTGCTGGCGGTGTTTTCATTTGCTGCACTGTACTCTCTGAGTTGAAATATACTCTTTGACCATTCTAAAAATTAACTGCGAGACGCACAACGGTCGGAAAATGGTCATAAATTGCAAAAGTAAATATCCTACAAAGCATCTCCTTCAAGACCAATAATAACAAACGTATTTTATCGATTACACCAAATTGCAATACTCAACATTGATATGAGTTTTGAATGTGAATTAATGGTGAATATAGTATGATCCATGAGTTGTCAACTTCGATATTCATTCTTCTAAATTAAATGCTGAATGTTCTGCCATTGTCGTCTGGGGAGCTACGCCGATAGAGTGGATATCCATCATTTCCAGTTTGTGTTTCCGAAAGAAAAGCACGTGGATTATTGTCAGCCATACAAACCGAAAAGGAATCGTAATGTTCGAAAGCTCCATGAATAATATTGGTTTTCACCACTTCGAATAATACTGGATATTTCTCATCAATTGGATCTGGTGTAACCACCATCCAAAGAAGAATGTGTACGTGCGGCAAACTTCTCTTCTGCCACTCAACAGAGTACATCTAGCATCCAACAGCACTATCAATCATCGTAACTGTTGTTTGAAAAGTTGTGCTATGACATCGTGACGATCGATTGTTAATTGACCACGATTCATAATTCCGCACGTATGTCATCGCATCGTGGGAGTGCTTCTTGTCTTGCCTTGCCTTGAGCTGCCATACGTTGCTCGTAAAAAAAAACGCCGACCGATATTAGGGCGACCTCTTCGCGGCTTCGTCACAAATTTCACTTTGCGTGAAACACACATATGTAAAGTTTTCAGTGAATAATTTTCAATGATTTTTCTTTAGCCGGAATAAAAAAGAAAGCGTCCGAAATTGAACGATTGTGAAATAATTCACAAATGAAAATATTGAAAAACAAAACAAACAAAAATTAAAAAAAAAAGTGTATGGAAAAGAGTTACTTTTTGGAACTATCCAATTTTTCGACTTTTCCTCATGAAAAGTATAAGGTATTTTTTTTTTAAACCTTCCCCGATCCACAACGAATAACCTTTGAAAATTTCATCAAGATTGGTACAGCCGTTCTCTTAGCGTTACTAACAAACAAATATTCGTTCGTTTGTTTGAGAAAAAGAAAAGGGTCCTTTTTAGGGGTTTCCCGGAAATTATTCGTAATTTTGCTGGCGTAAAAACCATCCTTGAACCTCAACGTCACCGTAAAAAAAGAATTATGGAATGAGAATACATACATTTTGGCGAACCAGACCAGAAAGTGATAATAAATATATAAACTTTTGCTATGTCGGCCTCAGCTCGTGAAGAGCCAGCCAGAAATATAAATTACTTCTATCGTTACAAAGAGGGGCTATGGGCTACGCTAGGTACCCCAATGAGCGGCGCCGAGCGAGCGAGACGGTTTCGGGAACATCGCAAAGCTGCTGCCGCCGACCTCGCGAGTACCTCTACCACTGGAATACCTATACTTATGGACGTAAGGAATGAACAGACGATCAATGTATCTATTGGATCTGCCACGAACTGAGAGATGTCAATATCAGTAGAAATGAAGCAATGCAAAATCATATGAAGCCAATCCGTTTGGTTTATCTTACTGCGTTTGTGATCGACTTTGGTTCGAAAGAGACTTAAAGAAAGTGAAACATTGCAACATTTCTTTCCTTCAAACAAAATTACCAAATGAAAATGTTACGAAATTTCGCTTATGCAGTACCTGTAGAAAAGCGAGCGATGCCAATAAAATACCAACGCTGTCGCGCTCAAACGGTTTCCGTTACCCTCCAAACCCGAGCGGACTGCCGCTGCTTGACCCGATCAGCATTCGATTGATTTCACCGCGGCTACCATTTATGCAAACTCGTCGATTACGCTACGAAAGTAACTATGGTATAGTCGGCCAGGTAATCAATGTACCTGTCGATGTAAACAACATGGTGCACCAATTACCGAGTTGGATAGAGGACGATTTTTCTTTTAATGTCAACATAAAAAACAAACTTATTCATAAATCGAATTACTTTAGTGGTTTCATACGTAGATCAGTTATCAAGGCCTGGCTGCGTTAATTGGTAAACCAACCGCTGTACAAGCACTATGACATAATGATCGACTGGAGTATGCCGTATATATACGTCCTAAGGCGTCGGCTGAGGCTGTTAAGCAATATCACTATAGACTGTACATTCACCAGAAGTATTAATGTTGACATTATGCCGTATGTTGCTTACTTCACATATCACAGACCTATGTTAAATAAAATTGTTGTCCAATATCAATCCTAATAATGAGTAATTTATGTTTCTATTATGCACCTGCACTTTTTTATTAAAATACTTAAAACAGCGTCAATCTTGTTTTCATTTCAATCATTTACTCTAAAAGCGATTCACTAACATAGATGTTTCACGTTAAAACCAACGGCCCGGTGTGTCCCGGCACAGCCCCAAATGATTTTTAGTTAGATTTTTTGATCAAAATGTCGTTCTCTAGCGCTTTTACGATAACGACGATTTGGAATAGGATTTGCTGCTTTCGGTTCTTGTGGATACACTTCATTTGGTCTGCACATGCTACGGCTTAGTGCAGACTGGCTCTGCCTAGAAGTGCTTGGCATATCGTCGAACATTGGTTCAAAATCAGTTGAACCTGTTAACAACTCCTATCCTGTTTAAAAATATAAAAAAGTTATTGCAATATAAGCAATATGTAATGAACATTAACTTTTAACTAACCACTAGACTCAACCAGTGCCTCTTGAGGATCTGTCCCAATGTCTATGGTGTGGTTGCTCGATACTAAACAACTTTTAACAAAAATTTCGTCCATTTTCGACATTTACGGTATTGTGCACGGAGAATTTCCAGTCTGCATCTCATTGTCTTTCACTGTTATATACACCTTCAAAAGCGCTCGCATTTTCACTACAGGGGCATTAACCGTTGTATCCTGTGGAAACAAATGTAATAAATATTTACAAAATAACTTTAAAATACTCTTACTGTAAATCTTTGATATATCATGTCCTCCAAGATGTTTTCATAAGCGAACTTTTTCTTCCGCGCACGAAGGAACTAATTCTTCCTCTCATGGTATCACTTCGGGAATAGGAGTGACTCGGCCTTTGTCCGAACTTTTCTTTTGCTGTATATAAATTTGTATTTATTTTGTGAAAAGTTTGTTTGCAAATTTAAAAATTCAAATTTTCCCTTCTCCATGTCAAACATTTTGTCGCAATAAATTGAAAGCTGATTGTTATTGCCCGCGTCGCCAACATAATGCGTATTTAAGCGAAAATGTAAAATAAGCTAAATGCGTTTTAGTTGTCCATGCTTTAGCTATTTTATGTTTATGATGGTCAAATAAAATACGGCTAATATATACATCAGCTCCATTCATAAGTACTCAAAATATTGTTACTTACGAAAACTGGAAAACAAACTAAATTGTCTTGACTACCTAGGTCAAATATTAACATAGGCGTACCCCAACGCCAAACATCTTATGACAGATAACGAAATACGCAAACCGGAAGACGTATTCTTCAATCGGAAAAAGTATCCGGAAATAGAAGATACTTTACTACAAAATCAAGGAAGAGTATTAAATTATCACAATAAAGATAGTAAGACAATTACATACAAGTCAGGTGATATAATTTATTCCCGAACGGACAGACGGAATAAAAGTGCCAATAAATATAAGAAACATACTGTAAAAGAAGATCGCGGTGCAACCATTCTAACTGAGAGGAATAATTATCCATAAGGACAGCATTCGAAAGGCTACAGCATATACGGCGGTATTATAATATTATTTACAATTTACTCCTCTTTTGCAGATTTAGTGACACACTTCAGTAATAGGAAATTTTTTTTTTACTAAACAGACATAGTAGGGGTATTCTTTTGCTCTTGCAAGAACCTTGCGCGGTGTACGAAATGCAGATATCTTCTCTTGGTGCACCGGCATAACAACAAACACACGCAAAAAATAATTGGCAATGGCTGTAAAATGTGTTTATTTCGTGCAATGACGCGTAAAAAAATAATTGCAACCCTGTGCTATCTGTCATTTTACTTAAATACATATTTTGACGTTAAATTGTTGAGGAAGGTAAATTTTAAATAGACAGCCAATTCACAACAGCCATTTACAATAAATTGACCGAATTAGCCGTTCATATATCACTAGATTCTGCAATGGGTGTTCTCATGCTCTTGTATATTTCGGTATAGGAACTTTGCAATCTTGCAAGAGCAAGAGAATACCCCTAGTGTATTTATTTGAAGACACATACCTTTTATATCATCTACCCAATTTAACGACTATTCGTGCACCGTGCAAGGGTTTTAAAGAGCAAGAGAATACTCCTAATGTATAAATAACCTATCATTAACGATAAATGTAAATTATACAATTTAATTCCGTTAGCCTACAAACATGGAACATTATAAATTGAAAGAAATATAGCAAAATGTGAAAATAAATTTATAAGAGTATCTAAGTGTAAAAATAATGTAGGAAGTCATATTTGTAAACAAGAATTGCAAGATAATTGTACCATCCATGTACTAAATGAGGACAAAGCGTATTGTAATATTGTTAAAGAAATAATGTGCCATTATTAATATTAGATCACGGAAATATTATAATTGACGGAAACCATATATGGAAGGGCCAAAATATTACAGATACAAAATTAATTCAGTTTAATATTAGCACTACTTTAGAAATAAGACATATTTTAACCATGACAAAATACACATCAAAATATACACATAATAATATATTGTAGTTATCAGTAACAGATAAGAACTTATCCAAATATATTTATCAGCTTAAAATAAAAACACAACAGAACTTGTAAGCAAACCTAATGTTCTTAAGTCTTAGTATTGCCATCAAACGTAAAGGTGGAGATATTAAACTCAACAAATATATAAAATAATAAATACAATATTATTATTATTTAACTCGCTCATTAGCTAAAACAGCTGCTTCGGCTGGGAAATTAGGGTTAATTTCCTCATTTCTTCTAGCCGGGATGAAGTGAGTGGTAGCTGCTGTTATCATCTTGCGGAATCGGTGTTCGCTCACGGTTACCTCCGTAGAAATTGGTAAAGCGGTGAAAGTGTTCTCAGTAAATTTTATGAAGCCGACTTAGTTAGCTTTGATGGAGTTAAATATGGGCATTGTTATATTTATTTTATTATTATTAAAAGTCCCAAAAAATTATATTTCTAAACGTAAGCGAGAGTTCAATATTAATGTAAGAATCATTTGAAATTTTTTTATTACAAAAATTCTAAAAAAAAACATCACACAGCTACTGGCAGCGTACAGTGGTTTTTGTTTACATACACATATGTATATATAAATTATAGTGATCGTATTAACTGAATAAGAAAAGGTTAAATCATAATTTGAGATGAGTGCATAATAGCTGACAAATATTCCTGAAGCATTGCACAGAGCAATGCAATATCCGTATTAAAAAGGAACGAACAAGTCTGTGTTTTCTTACATATAGTATCTGGGTTAAAGCTGACGATTTTGCAATTACATTCGATGAATGTTGAACAAAACATTACCGTATGATTAGATATAGGGTGTGAGATGCACCTCTTGCTGAATAGCCAGAAGTTATACCAAGGTAAATAGGCGAATGCGGTGATTGCGGCACGATATTAGTTGAAAATGTAACAAAATGATCACGAATAACCAATGCAGTAAGAGATGGTGCATTTTCACACTTTTTTGTTCAATAAATTCAGACAAACTAAAAAATCGCAAAAATTACTTTTAAAGTTTTAAAACCTCGCAAAACTACGCGTATCTCAAATACTAATGAATATTTTGGCATGAAATTTAGCACAGATCTCACAAATTCCTTACAAACAAAAAACCAAAAAATAATAATAATTACCGATACGAAAAACAAGCGAAGTATAAATTAAAAAATGAACTTTCAATTTGAGCACAGTAGTAGATGTGTAACGATATACCATGCAGATGCAGAGACTGAGAAGTTGTTGTTATATCATCAAAAAAAAAAAAAAAAAAAAAAAAAAAAAAAAAAAAATTTAGATTGCCAATTATATTCCACTTATTGTTAATAAATCATGGTTATTAATTATAACGAGCGAGCGGATGTATCATGTAAGAATTGTAAAATGATTGGTTCAAAAAATGCAATATCTTCTTAACTAATTGTCATGATCTTAATATTATAAATCATATAGATGGTATTAATCGTACCAACTATGTATCAGCCACAGAAAAACGTGGACGGGTCCTCTAGTTGTATATAAAATCTTCCAGAAACTGTTGCTTATTTATTTTTTCTAATTAAATTCAATATCTTTGTGTGAATATAAATATTCATGCCCTATATATAACCAAAATTATAACTTGAGAATATTATGAAAAGATAATTTTTTAACCGGTCAGCATACATAACATAAGTTATTAATATTCGGTCATATTGCAAAAACTAGGCGAAGGAATAAGTCAAACGAGCGGAACTATAAATGGAGTGTGAAAAATGCACTTAATCGGATCGATATATCGGACTTTCAAAAATTTTCGAAACAATTTCTAGTCTTTACAAAAATACCTTTTTGTCATTTAATTCAAAGTAAGTCTTCTCAGAATGCATTAAAATCTTAGTTTAGTAACTGGATAATAGCCTCAAAAATAAATTTTTTGGCTATTATCATATTTAATGGAACCGTGAATAATAAAATACATTAGTGGAATGCAGAATCTGTTGCAAATGGTCTTGCATCCTTGTAAATGCAAATCAACCAGCATATTTTTGCTTATCAAAATGTAAAGGCATGCACCTACTACACTCTTGAAGCAACACTAAAACGCCATTGTATTATGTGCAATGTGAACAGGCATTGACGCAATGTGGGATCTAATTCGTTGGAAAGTGCGCACCTGAAGGCTTCCTTTTAAAAAGGAAAGCGATTTGCGAATGTTAACTGGAGCATGCCTTCTCGAGTCCGATGCTGGGACGTCGAGTGTTGAAGGTAAACGTAATGAACGCGGAGAAATTTTGTCTAATGTTTATAATTAAGGCAAAGTTTTGCAGAGGTGTCCACACTTTAATCAACTTGAATATATTTTTGGAGCAAAACCCACAAGTGGATTGCCGTTGAAACAGTTGATAGTAGCAGCATGTCCATCTTGAATGAAAGCGCGACCGTTAGAAATATATAACTTTTTTTGATATCGGCGAAGAAATTGTGTCTCCAATTGACATTAGCAACAACGAAAATGTGAAAATATTCTAGAAGAAGCCAAAGATTTCGCAGAAAAAAAGAACAATATGTCCCAAAGTCGTCTGCTGCAAATTTTACTGTTTTGCAAGTCGAGCGTAGGGAAATGTTCAAAATGAAAATGTAGTCTAAAAAAAGAGAAACATGATCACGGTTTGAGAGAAAGAAGATTGAAAGCAGAAATTGAAAGAAGTAAGGCTGAAGTAGAATTCAAGAACAGTGAGTTCAGTTCAAGAGTTTTAGAACTGGGAAAAGACAAAAGATTGAAAAAACTTCAAATAGAAAAAGAGGAACGCTTACAAAAGTTCGAAATAGAGATGAAATATACTAAGTATACCTCTCAACAGAAATTAATTTATCTTTGTACTTTATTTATTCTTGTATCTTAAAATTTTTAATTCCAATTACTCTTGTTTTAATTTATGCTTGCTACCTTCTATCATTCAAAGCGTGATCTTTTTCAAGTTAAGCTTGAACTAAATGCTTAAATTAAAATAACCATTTATTTTGTATAGAATAATTTTATGTATAAAAATATGAAATTGAAAAACTGAATGAATTAATTTGGATACATTTAAGAAAACATTAATGTGTATGTATGTCATGCCTTTTAATTTCTCCAACATTGTAAGGTATATGGTCATCAGGTTCAATAGAATCTTTGGTACTGATTGACGGCGACAAGGAAGCAATCGCAGCATAGTTTATGTTTTTTTTTGTTTTCTATTCGACAGAGGTATTCTTAGCTGCTTAAGGTTTCCAAGTCTTTCATTCAGAAGACCAAAACAATGCTTTTCTCCAACCCGGTATTGGCTAGTTAACATCGCAGGAAACAACATAAAAAGGACAAATATATGCGTCGATAGTCAGACAGCAATTAAGGCAATAATCTCACATCGAATTACGCACAGAATACATACATAGATGTAGCGGCTGCCGAACAACAGCTGCATATATACTGGGTTCAGGGCCACAAGACAGTTTCGGGAAACGAAACAGCTTACAATTGCCATCCGATAAAGTATAGGAAATACGAATGTCACAAAAAAGTATATGCAACGTAGTTTTCGGAAAGGCGTATCTCTCGCCCTGATACTTCGGAATGCCTTAAGTACATGCAGGATCGCCAAAATTATGTACAAGAGCTCCTTTTGAAAACTCGCTTGCTTCTTACTCATATGGTCTCAATAGGACTGCCGGATGGCTGTTGGCCCCTTCATAGGTCACAACACGCGAGCTAGATAGCAATAAGGGAAAACGATACATGCAGACAGTGTGGAGAAGAGACGCTGGAACACTTCCTATGCCTGTGTCCAGTAAAAGAGCGGAACTATAAATGGATTCCGTAAGAGACTATGTCACCCAAACCTTGCCCAGCAAAAATGTACGAAACAATTTCTTGTCTTTATAAAAATACCTCTTTGTCTTTTACTTCAAATGATGTGTCCTCTCAAAATGCATTAAGACCTAAATTTGGTAACTGGGTAATAGCCTCGAATTTTTGGCTATATCCTATTTAAAGGAACCGTGAAAAATAGAATACATAGGTATTAGAGGGTGGTTCAAGGTGCTATATCAAAACATGCACCATCTCAGTTATTATACTATTTTATCATAATCTTCCATTCCTTAAAATTGATTAATTTTAGATAAATGTTGCA